ACACTTAGTAATAAATAGACACCTACACAAACATCCAACTTTATTATCTTAAGGAGTGTGTGGGTTCCTTATACTATGGTCCTTTTGCTTATTTCTCTGCCATCATCTTTTCCTCTGCTCCGTCCAAAGGTCCTTCATTGCTGCCATGACTCCTCCCATCAGTGATTTCAGCACTCTTCTGACCTTTTTTCTTCCTCTCCTGCTTCTTCACCTGCTTTTATCTTGACTGACTCAAGCCTGTCATTTCTCTGCCTTATATACAGGTTTTGGCCTATTCTGACTGGCTATTTCCTCAATCCTTATCGTTAGCATGCACATCCACCAATCATCTTTAAGCCTTCCCTGACTGGTCTGTTCTTATGAACCAGTCACAGCCTGCGCTTATGTGTCAGGCAAAGCTGGACCTGATTGAAAACCTGCACCATTCTCAAGTGACCCTTCCCTTCACATTTTGGAGTGACCTTATTTCATTTTAGCCTTCCTGTTTCCAATGGCCCAAATTTTTCCAAATCCACCCGCTTATTATCCCTAACTATGACTGCTTAAACTGCCGTTATTAATTTTTAAGTGCTTACAATTCTAAACAATTACACATTTATATGCATTTTAACATTGGGATTCACTATAACCATTCCGTTTTTGCTAAATTAAATAAGCTTAATTTCTATCTTTCCCTTACTTTAAGCTTGTGATGGCAAGGCACTGTTCTTAATGTTGTATTCCTGACACAGAATAGAGCAGCTGAAAAATCTCTGGTATGGAAGGGGAATACTGACTGTAATTTACCTGGAAGATATCATTTATAGAGCTTTGCCCGGTGTAGGTTGCCTAATTACCAACATATCAGGGTGATTCCGTTAGCCTAATCGGGAAGCTATGATGTTATTCCAGGGCAGGTTGCAAGATGATATGGAGGGTCAATTCATATTAAGTGAAGTAAAGGGCTAATTAAAATAATTACGTTCCTTATAAAATCTTTACCAAAAAAAACTCACCACATAGCTTGGTTGATTATTAGTGCAGTGCAGTTATATTAAATAGATTTTTGATACATTTGAACATAAACAGAACAGAAGTGATACTCTTAGTTCCTGGAAAAAGCATTGATTTTTTGGTTACTTTGCTAATACAAAAGTTGTATAACTTGAACTATGCGATTGTGTAAATTGACATTCCTCAGTTACGTTACTGTGGTTCTGAAAGGTATGTACATATCTACTCTGAATAAAGAGTCCTTTATATGAGGAAAGTCCAAGGACTGAGTATTCAAGTCAGTAAAAGATATTGACACTGGAAACCATCCTGCAACAATGTATTTCAGGACGTGCAGCTCAAAGAAGAAGGTTCTGAATTTGAGGGTAGAGGAATGGGTGGGTGGAAAGAACATAGCATTCCTAAAGAAACATGTTTTGCACAGTTGAAGTGTTTTGAACCTTAGTTATAGTGAATATATTAAACCACATATCCTAGTTTCTTAAAAACGTCTTAATATTTATCATACAAGATATAAGAATGTTTCAGAAACAACCAAAATCCTATTCTGTGGGCCTGAGCCTTGTCTCGTGTACACTCCTGAAAATTTGGAGGACCACCAGAGATTAACTAATTATTCTGAGCACAAATTCTCATGCAATGAGAATCAGGTATCTGTTTCAGACTGTGATCTTATATCTACTTCACTTAAGAAGTAAAGCTTTGGTTTAAAATGGCAAGAATGTATACAAGTGTGAGTTCTAAAGCAAATATCTCCTGGAAACAGAATATTTTCATTTTTTCTCTGCAGACTAGAGATGACTACAGTGTGTGTGTGTGTGTGTGTGTGTGTGTGTGTGTAATACTGTATGCTTCTGCCGTAAGCAAAAGATTTTTTTTAAAAAATAGAAGAGACAAAAGAAATGAATAATTATACAGAAAAAAAATGCAAAGGGAACTTTGGTACGTTTTCCATGCAATGCATTTTCACTTAGCTTCTGATTTGTATGTCTGTGGAATAAAATAATAATTAGCTCAGGTTTGGGCTTGGATTCATGAATTTTGAAAGATGTTTTCAAAACAGAAACTTTTTCCTGAATGTGAAGATCTCATATTTATTTGGAAAAAGTCTGCAAGTCAGGCACTTAGCCCAAACTGCAGTGGCCTATTATTAACCAGTATAACTGGAGAAGAGCTTGACCAGCTGTGTGAAACATTTTATAAAGATTAAAAGTAACCTTTGTCTGGTCCTTTTCCCTGGAAAAGGTACAAAATATAGAGCAGTGTAACATTCCCTTGGTAGGCCCTTCAGGTGCATGTTCTCAACTGTAAGAAAGATTGCTTGTGCAAAATTTGAGTCTGAGATCTTAGACTCTTCAAATCTGTTCCAGTGAGCTTCTGGGTGCCCACAACTCCTGTGGATTATGCTAGAAGTGGAGGGTGCTGCTCAGAAGTTTGCAGGAGGACGTGTAAAAATGTGTCTTTGATGGTTAGCAAAGTGAATTGATAATACTGATTTGAGATGAAAACAGGTGAATGAAAATGAGCATGTTTCCCAGAGTACGTTAGTGTTTACAGTAGAACCTCAGAGTTTGACACCTTGGGAATATATCTCTGAAATGTCCTTAATATATCTCTGTCTATATCTCTGAAATGTCTTTAATTCTAAACAAGATGTTATGGACTTCAGCCACTGGGGGTTTAGGACTGTAACCACTAGGAAGTGGGGCCAGTGTTCTGGGCACCAGGACACAGGACTTTGGATTAGATTGGGGAGGGTAGGATGAGAGAAAGCTGGGGCGTGAGGCTTCAACCCCATAGCATCGTTCTTGGCCTCCGCCCCCCCAGAGGGGCATCAGGGCCCAGTCTCCTTATAGCTCCATTTCATTCCTCCATAAAACAATGTGAAACTTTAGAATCTACAAGTCGATTCAGTCCTACTTATTCACTCAACGACTTAGAGAAACAAGTTTGTTTACATTTACAGGAGATAATGCTGCCTGATTCTTATTTAGGTAACCTGAGCATGAGAACAGGCATTCGCATGGCACTTCTGTAGCTGGCATTGCAAGATATTTGCATGCCAGATATGCTAAATATTTGTATCCCCTTTCATGATTCGGCCACCATTCAGAGGATATGCTGCTCATGCTAATTTAAAAATTGATGTGTTAATTAAATTTGTGACTGAGCTTCTTAGAGGATAATTGTATTTTTCTTGCTCTAAGTTTGTGCCTGCATTCCACCATATATTTCATATTATGGCAGTCTTAGATTATCATCCAGCTCATGTTGTTCGGTTTAAGAACATTTTCATTGAAGATCTGACAAAATGCAAAAAAAGGTGTAAGATTTCTAAAGATAGCTACAGCATTTTACCCAGGGTTTAAGAATCTAAAGTACCTTCCAAAATTGAACAAGGTGTGGAATATGCTGTCAGAAGTCTTAAAAGAGCAACACTCTGACACACAAACTACAGAACCCAAACCACCAAAAAGAAAATCAACCCTCCATTGGTGACATCTGATTCAGATGATGAAAATGATCCGTCTGCACTGCTTTGTATTGTTATCAAACAGAATCCATCATCAGCATGGAAGCATGTCCACTGGAATGTTGGTCAAAGCATGGATGGGCATACAAATGTTTAGCATATCTGGCACATAAATACCTTGCAAAGGTGCCATGTGAGTGCCTGTTTTCACTTTCAGGTGACACTGTAAATCAAAAGCAGGCAGTATTTTCTCCCATCAATGTAAACAAATTTGTTTGTCTTACTAACTGGCTGGACAAGAGGTAGGACTGAGTGGATTTGTATCCTCTAAAGTTTCACATAGTTTTGTTATTGAGTGCAGTTATTTAAAAAAAAAACCCTATATTTATAAGTTACACTGTCATAATATTGCGCTACAATATTTGTCGGAGTGTGATTATAACTGTGATTGTGTGTTTTTAATTTCATGATAGACCACAATTAATTTTTAGTCATTTGACAACCCTAGAAATAATGAATTCAGCTAGAAATAGATATGTGCTATACCAGGACTGCTCTGCACTTCTTTTGCTCGGTGACATCTTCCTTATGCTGATCAAACTGCATAAGTGTTATCATAAACTTTTATAGTTACACAATTGATTAAAGATTTGATTTTAAAAATGGGAAATCTTGCTGGGAAAACTTTGAAGCAAACTTAATTCTATGTATACTTAATTTCTGCTCTGCAGTAGATAATTAATAGACTCCAACCATTCCAATGCATAGCAGTTTTCAATCCTACAGTGTTAGCAAGCTACATTATGACTATACCCACAGACTGAGGTTTCAAAAATTATTGTTGATGGCTTATTGAGGTTGATTATTCATTGTACTTTTACCTAGCATTGTCATGGTTATTTTGCTTAGGATTTCATCCAGACAGAAAAGATGGTCCAGTGATTAGCTTATAACTTGAGAAACAAGGTTCCCTGGTCTTGCTCTGCCAGAGATTTATATATGAACTTGAGCAAGTTACTTAGTCTTTCCCCATTTGTAAAATGGAAAGATTGTGATGTGCTCAGATATTATGATAATAAGGGCTTTATAAGTACCATAGAGAGATTAATTCTGAATTTTTTTGTGGGAAGAAATACATGGGACAAAATTTCCCAAACTTTACTACAGGACAATTAGTTTTCATTTTTTCCTTCACAGACTGTAACTGAAAAGCAAATTTTTATATATTTTTAGCAAACAAAACGTAGTGGAGAGAGATTTTAAAATGTGCATCAGTGGACTTGTGAGCAACTGAAGAGTCCAATAGCCTAATCACAGTTAGTTGAAGATGAGGCAAACAGTGTACTGAATTAAATTGCTACTCATTTTATCTGCTTTAGTCAAATGCTACTGCTGTTCAATTAAGACTAGTCTGTGTTACACTGAAATAATAGTATCATTCAGTCTTATAGTAAGCTGCAATATAATACTAAAAGTAGACTATACAGAGAAACTTCTTTCTGTCTTTGTTCACTTTGTGTATTTTTGTCAATAGCCAAACGTTTAGCCATGTACCAGGAACCAGATTCTGAGGAGGAAGAAATAGCAGCTAAAGGAGGAACATTATCCCAGCGGAACAGTGTCAGCAGTCACCAGAGCATTAAGGTTGTTCACAGAAGCCTGAGTACGAAATCCCACCGACGCACTGGCAGCAGGGCTGAAGCAAAAAGAGCAAGCATTCTCTCCAAGCACACTGCATTCAGCAGCCCAATGGTTAGTTGTGAACCATAATCTTTCAGCATCACAATTGCGTTATGGGGAAAAGATGTAGAAATTTGTACCACATTGTATGCTTTTCATAGCTTTCATCTTGGCTTTTTCCTTTTCATCAAAATTTGTTTTGTTTTCTTATTGTTGTTTAAAAAACAAAGTATGCAAAGATTCTTTTATAAAAAGTCATTCTACTAGGCTCCCAGTTCATAAAGACAAACTCAAATAGTTGTTTTGGGTATTCCGTGATTTTTTCAAGAACAAAATATGTTTCATCCCTTTGTTTACAGCAATTTTGATATTGGATTAAGAATTATAATTGAGGGCTCTAATTGGTCTATGTATTGTGATAGGGTCAGAAGAGAAGGCTATAGAAAAGTAGTGGAAGGGAAAAATATAAGCCACAGACTGAGGCAATCTCTATTCCCAGAGTAACAGGGAGGGGCTGGGTTAGAACCAGCAGAGGCAATCAGAGGCAATGGAACACTTGGGGCTAATTGACCAGGCCTTCAGAGTAAGGCTAGCCTAGGCTAATTAGGACACCTGGGGGTAATTAAGAAAACCAGTTCAGACTGGCTATATAAAAGAAGCTTTGCCTACAGTTAGAATGCAGAGTAGCTGAAAGGACGGAGGAGAGCGCCACTGGGAGTAGGAGGAAAGGAGACAACAAATGAACACTAGGAGGATGAACCAGAGACAGGGAAGGTGTGGGGAAGTCGCTCAGAGGTCTTGGAGCTGTCTCATAGCAGGTGAAATGTGCATCAGTGGACTTGTGAGCAACTGAAGAGTCCAATAGCCTAATCACAGTTAGTTGAAGATGAGGCAAACAGTGTACTGAATTAAATTGCTACTCATTTTATCTGCTTTAGTCAAATGCTACTGCTGTTCAATTAAGACTAGTCTGTGTTACACTGAAATAATAGTATCATTCAGTCTTATAGTAAGCTGCAATATAATACTAAAAGTAGACTATACAGAGAAACTTCTTTCTGTCTTTGTTCACTTTGTGTATTTTTGTCAATAGCCAAACGTTTAGCCATGTACCAGGAACCAGATTCTGAGGAGGAAGAAATAGCAGCTAAAGGAGGAACATTATCCCAGCGGAACAGTGTCAGCAGTCACCAGAGCATTAAGGTTGTTCACAGAAGCCTGAGTACGAAATCCCACCGACGCACTGGCAGCAGGGCTGAAGCAAAAAGAGCAAGCATTCTCTCCAAGCACACTGCATTCAGCAGCCCAATGGTTAGTTGTGAACCATAATCTTTCAGCATCACAATTGCGTTATGGGGAAAAGATGTAGAAATTTGTACCACATTGTATGCTTTTCATAGCTTTCATCTTGGCTTTTTCCTTTTCATCAAAATTTGTTTTGTTTTCTTATTGTTGTTTAAAAAACAAAGTATGCAAAGATTCTTTTATAAAAAGTCATTCTACTAGGCTCCCAGTTCATAAAGACAAACTCAAATAGTTGTTTTGGGTATTCCGTGATTTTTTCAAGAACAAAATATGTTTCATCCCTTTGTTTACAGCAATTTTGATATTGGATTAAGAATTATAATTGAGGGCTCTAATTGGTCTATGTATTGTGATAGGGTCAGAAGAGAAGGCTATAGAAAAGTAGTGGAAGGGAAAAATATAAGCCACAGACTGAGGCAATCTCTATTCCCAGAGTAACAGGGAGGGGCTGGTTTAGAACCAGCAGAGGCAATCAGAGGCAATGGAACACTTGGGGCTAATTGACCAGGCCTTCAGAGTAAGGCTAGCCTAGGCTAATTAGGACACCTGGGGGTAATTAAGAAAACCAGTTCAGACTGGCTATATAAAAGAAGCTTTGCCTACAGTTAGAATGCAGAGTAGCTGAAAGGACGGAGGAGAGCGCCACTGGGAGTAGGAGGAAAGGAGACAACAAATGAACACTAGGAGGATGAACCAGAGACAGGGAAGGTGTGGGGAAGTCGCTCAGAGGTCTTGGAGCTGTCTCATAGCAGGTGTCACACAGGCAGCTACTATTACAGGGCTCTGGGTTGGAACCTAGAATAGAGTGGACCTGGGTCTCTCTCCTGCCCCCCGCCCCCCCAACCCACCTCCCCATTTCCACTCTGGGAAAAGGACTGTGGAGTTTTATCTTCCATTTTACTATATACCTCCCAATGATGAAAAGAGCTCAACAAACAGCAAATTAAAGCCCTGGGCACGGTGCCTAAAAACCTGGGCTGCTGTGAGCCTCTGAGGCAAGCAAAATCTTCCAGGAAGCACAGGACCCACCGAGTTTTCATAGGAGCTTTATCACGGAATGTGTCCTTTTATCTTAGTTTTGGGGAAGCAGTGATTTATAAAAGCATGAGTAACAAGGACTAGATTGGGAACTATGGCATTAATATATTCAAATTCATGCTGTAATTGCAAATATAAGACATTCCATAGTTTCAACTGTAAATAGTTTGAAATTACCATTAGGTAGAGCAAGTTACATTAAAAGCAAACAAACACAAATTTCCTGCATATTCAGAAAAGTTAAGTGGAACAATGTCATAATTTTTCCATAACTAATCTCTACATGTGTTATTATGTGTCATGTGCATGTTTATCGTCCTGCAGTTTGCTATCCTATTAATACTGCATGTGCCACTACAGTGTGTTGACACAGAAGCCAATGAAAATTTTGCCAAAGTTAATTTGTATTAATGGAGTGGAAAATTAGGTGCAGTATACTTCGACAGTCCTGATTCCAGCTGTCAATGTCCAGTCAGCAATAAAACTGCATTAATGCAAATCCCAAGTGTAGAAAAGGAAAGCTGCAATGCACACTAGTGTTGCTAACTCCAGATTTAGACAATGGTAAGCGCCATTAGCATAGCTTGCAGCGCACTGTATCTACACATGGGGTTTGTACTGGCACAGCTACCTCCCTAGTTTATCATCAGTTGGTAAAAACTGCAATAAATTCCCAATAAAGACAATGCTTTAAAACAAACTTTGTATTTTTTCTGTAACCAGTGTTATACCTTCCTAGGAAATTAATATCTGAAAGGAATGTAACAGCTGTTTAAATACAGTGGGGAATATGCCACATTTTGATTACAGCAGCATATAAGCTTCTCTCGAATTCAAAGAGGTTAAAATATATAAACAATTTCTAAACAATTTCTTAGTGGTGCAAAATGGGTAAGATTACTGTTTTGATGTCAGAATTAGCATAGTTTTGTTGTCTTTTTTATGATATAGGTCTATATATTATGGCAGCCTACAATAATTCTCTTAGATTAGATTGAAAACAGGATGACTATCAGTACATTGCTCAGTTTCCATCTCCAATCCCAAAATAGCTGGATGTTTCTATTATTATGATTAGTAATGAAAAGATCAACAACTATAACATTTACAAGGTAATTGTCATCATTAGGTACCGGTGTAGACAATCTGTTGAAATAATGGAGGCTGTTCATGTCATTTTAGAGCTATTTTAAGTGTTCTGTCAGGGAGAGGAAGACACCTCTGCATTTGTTTACATTCACAACATTAATGTTGCAATTATAAGGCCTAAAAATGTACAAATTTTTGCATGTTGGGGGAAAGAGGACAGGAAGTGTCATTTAATGGAAAATTGAAATTCTTCAGAAATACGTGGGGCCACAAAAGAGGTGCTGATGCATCAGGCAGAACCAGCTCAGTCTGAGATTTGAAATATAGACAGAACTACAGAGTGTTAATACTGCTCTTCCTGTATTTCTAGGAAAAAGACATCACTCCAGATCCTAACTTGTTAGAAAAAGTAAATGCATGTGCAAGAAGTATTGAGATCATGAGAAGTCATGAACAGCCATTATCCCAACTCACACCTGAACTTTCTGACATCTTTGACTTTTTCATAGCATTGACTATTTGCAATACAGTTGTTGTTACCTCTCCGGATCAGCCACGGCAAAAGGTAGGTTAGAGAGACAGCATACTGGAGTGTGAGGCTCCTTTATGTTATATTTGATTATCTCACAAATTTGTAACAAGGATACAGAAACTGACCTTTCCTAGACTGCAACAGAGATGTTTACAATGTAATTATTGGCACCAATTCATACATCAATGTGGAAAACAACATCTGCAAGTTTAAAATTAATGGTGAGGTCAAGCTTTCTTTAAAAGGTGTATTTCAATTTTTTCTCTTACCCCAACAGATTATTTGTACATAATGAATTTTTTGAAGCAGTTCTGACACTGTTTTCCTTCCTGAGTTCACATACTTGACTTCTTAAATAAATATAATTTGCATCTTTGGTTAGTTCTTAAGTTAATTTGTCATCCCTAGAATAAAGGGCACATAATTATAATATAAAATTAGGGATGATTATGACAGGTGGTGATTTGGCAGAGCTATGCACTTACAAAGTAGTGTCATTTAATAATGAGGAGTGGAACAAAGCACTCACCATCTAATGCATTAGATGTAATGTTGGATTTAATATTAGAGCTTATCAGAAGCTGGAATTTCCATTCCACAAGAAATAGTAACATTTTTTTGAATTTTTTTCCCTCTTAGCAGAAAAGCCAATATTTCCCACAAAATAAAAATTCCAAAGAATTTTGATTAGAAGCCACTGTTTTAATGTTAAAGTGCCTTTTGTTTCAATGTTAAAAAGTATAACATAATATTAAATGTGCATAATGTAAGAGAAAATTAATGTTTTAGTATAAAGGAGTCTGAACAAAATGAATTAAAAGCATGTCAGAGTGCAACATTTTACCATATTAAAATGAACTTTCAACATTATCAAAATGAAAGAGAAGGTTTAAATGAGGAGACATGGTTAGTTCTGATCAAACTAATGCGCTAAAACTAGCTGTGTAGCCACAGCAGCACAAGAGGAGAAGCTGGCTGCCCCAAATTTGCATCTGTGGGCTCGGATGGGATCATACTCAGCGTGAATAGACCCATTTGCTACTCATACCAACATGGCTCCACTTTATTTTTGACCAGAGCTATCTGGGGTATGTCTTCTCGAGCTGGAATTTGTGTGTGTAGACATACCATTAGAGTGCAAAAGTTTTAATTATATTAACATTAGTTTTTAGGGAGTGATTCCAACACTGGTTCCACAAGGAGGGGTCAATAGTAGTGTAATTCTCAAGTGTACACATACTAGTTCTGGTAAAGTTTCTGGTACAGCATCAGCCTAGGACAGTGGTCATCAATCAGTAGATCGGAATCTACCAGCAGATCTTGGAACCTCTGACAGGTGATCCTGACTGCTTTGGCCGGGAAGCTATCAAGCACTGGCACTTCAGTTGCCCCTCCACCCACTGTCACGCTGCTCCTGCCCTCTGCCTTGGCGCTGGTCCCCCTGCTTGCTGGAGAAAGCTTGGCAATGTAAACCTCTGTCACTCACTCACACTGTGTGTGTTTCTGACATTCTCACAAACACACACTGCCCTTCCCTTTCCTCGCCCAACCCAACACATACATGGGGGGTTGTTGTTACTTCTTTTACTGCTTGCAAAGTGTGTTACTTTTGGTTTTTGACTGGTCTGTGCTTTTCATAATTTTCATTTCTCTCTCATGCTTAAATTTAATTCTTTGAGTAGTGAAGTCTAAAATTCCTTAACCTATCCTGGCTGGAGTAATTATCCCTATGGTAATTGCTGCTCCTGGAAGTGGCTGGTATGTCCTGCAGCCCCTAAGAAAAGCACAGCAGGGGGTCTCCACATGCTGACTTTGCCTGCAGACACCACTCCTGCAGCTCTCATTTATCAATAATGGGAAACCACAGCCAGTAGAAGCTGTGAACTCAGTGCCTATAGATGAGGGGCAGTACATGGTGCCATGGAGCCATTGCTATACATGCTAGCTGCTTTCAGGAGTGGTGCATAGCTAAGGTAGCAGTAAGCCTGCCTTAACTGCCCTGCTCCACCACCTGGAAGCTGTCTCAGTTAAATTGTGCCAGCCAGAGCCTGCTTCCTGAACACTGTCCCTGCCCTAAACCTCTTCCTACACCCAACATCCTGCCCCAGACATGAGTCCCCCTGCACCCAAACTCCTTCCTGAGAGTTCAGTCCTGAAACCCCCCCGGACCCTGCTTAGGCTAAGCCCAGGACCCTTCCCACACTCCAAACCCCTGGGCCCAAGACCAGAGCCTGCACCCCAAACCCCCTATCCCAGCTTAGTGAAAGTGAGTGAGGATGGGGGGAGGAAGGAGAATGGAGTGAGCAGAGTGAGGCCTCAGAGAAGGCGTGGAGCAGGGGCGGGACTTCAGAGAAGGGGTGGGAAGGAAATGGGGCAAGGGTATTGGAGTTTGAAGTAGATCTTACGTTACACTTAAATTGAAAAAGTGATCTTGTTGTTGAAAAGATTGGAGAACAGTGACCTAGGATTTCTTTTTCACTTGTCCAATCCAGATTGTTGATGCTATAGCTTTTTGCTACTGAGTGAGATTGGCTTCCTGCCTTGAGTTATCAAATGACAATATCAGACTTATTATGTATCCTTTTTATTTTGGTTGTTGTTTTTTATTTCTCAAGGTTAGAGTTAGATTTGAACTTAAGTCTCCGGTCAAGACCATAGAAGATTTCATTCGGAGATTCACTCCCAGCCGTCTGACCTCTGGATCAAACAGCAGCAGTTCATCAAGCCTGACTACCAGTAAATCAATGAACAGACTTGGTTCTGGTATTTTTTCATCTATATCCACTGAGAGCACTTTATTGAAACTGGAAGAGAAGTTGGCGCACACTGCACAGATGAATAATAATGGATTCAGCTTGCAGTCAGGCAGAAGGGCTATAGGGAGTAGACCTGAAGAAGAAGAACTCCGTTATGAGGCAGAGAGTCCAGATGAAGCTGCGCTTGTTTATGCAGCTCGGGCATATAACTGTGCTCTAGTTGGAAGACTGTCAGACCAGGTATCAGTAGAGCTACCTCACCTGGGAAGGTTAACCTTTGAACTCTTGCACACTCTGGGCTTCGATTCCATCAGAAAAAGAATGTCAGTGGTTGTTAGGCATCCCCTTACAGATGAAATAAATGTTTACACTAAAGGAGCGGATTCAGTTATTATGGATCTTCTTCTGCCCTGTTCCTCAGGTATTATTTTCTCTTACTTTTTCCAGTTAACTCTTAGAGCAGGGCTACTCAACACGTGGCCCATGGGCCGCATGTGGCCTGCGGTGCAGTTTGGGTTTACACGGGGCTCAACATGTGGCCCGTGGGTGGGATCCTTTGAACATGGCCTCCGCTGGGAACATGCTGCACAACAGTGAAGCGTCTCCCAGGTGGGGTGAGCACTGAAAGACGCAAGCGGACAGGCTGGCTGGAACAGACGGGTACAGGGTGTTGTCGTTTCTAGCTCCCAGGGAGAAGGTGCCAGGGCATTGTGGGAAATGCTTTGTATTCATGCCTATCAGTGTAAATGACGTTATTTGCATACATATTTGCATGTATATGCAGCCACACTTAAGTTGCAGCCCTCTGAATGTGATGTATCATTGTGGCCCCTGGGTCTTCCAAAGTTGAGTAGCCCTGTCTTAGAGAGTGCTAGAGAACTGCAGTCTCAGCATGTCTGATTGCATCACAATGTCTGTATTGTTTGTGGGTATGCAGAAATGTATTCTAGCAGGACAGCTTTTGCTTCTTTTATAAACTTCTGCTCTTAATAACCAGTAACTTCTTATAATGGATTGTTGGTACTTTGCCTAAAGAAATATGAGTAACATTGATTTCAGTACGAGCTTTCCCAATGGCAAAGCTTATTTTAAGTGGACATTTTTCAAGAGCTTGCCAAATCAATTTACTTTTTATTGAGTACATTTTCCCAACATTGCCTGCTTACTCAGATATTTTTTGTATTAAGAGAAATGTTGCTTTGGAGATTACTAATAGTGGTCTTAGTTTTAAAGCGGCAGATGATTAGTGGTGAATAGACTTCTAACTGCAAACAGTAAGCTTGGCTTTTGGAAGGTGATATTTCACTTAAAAATTCTCAAATATGGGAGTGTGCTGTGAACCAGAAGCAATTTTAATGTCTCTTTATTGTAATAAGTTTGATTTAAAATCAACTCGTTGCTCTGATACACTTAGTTGAGAGCTAGATTTTTTTATGTTGTACAGTCTGATTTTCTGGGCTCGACATTTAATTTTGTACAATTTACAAAGGTTAACCCATTATGAATGGACAGAAATCAAATGCAATACAAATATTTCATAATTGTCATTAGTGCATTGACTTTGTGGTTACTTTCACATTGCTGAAGACTCCTGGAAACAGTGAAAGAATTGTACTGTGTAATTTTCGTTTAAAAACTACCAGAAAAGTTAATGTTAGTGTCATAGTTCAGAGCAACTGTTGCGTGTACTCAGACAGGCTGTCTAAGCACTAGTGATGTTAAAATGAGTGCAATTTGCTAATTCTGTAACCGCTGAAAATGTCAGCGGTTACATAGTTACTGTGAGGTAGCAGCTCCCCAGAAGCCAGTGCACGCTAGTAGATGGCTATTAAGCCAGTTCCCAGCAAATACCAGCTCCTACCTGCTGCCCCGCTCCTGGAAGTTTGGAAAAGTGTCCCTTTTGCTTTGGAACTAATGTAAGTTTCATGTCTGCAGGTCTTGTAGGAGGATCAAGGTGATCCATTAGGTGACTATATTGTTGAAACAGGAAGAGGTCTGATAAGAACTACCTTTTAAAATGAGAAACTGGTAGGGTTGCCAGATGGTTTCAGCAGAAATACCGGACACACTTGACATTACATCACAATCTACATTACATCTTATTTTCTCAATTTGTTTCCCGAACAGAAAGCTCAAATACAGGATTGTCCGGTTCAATACCGGATACCTGGCAACACTAGAATTTGGGAGCAACTTAAACATTCCTGTAAGACACTACACTTCCGTGGTTAGGCTGATATACATTAAAAGGTTACACTTGTATTTTGCTGCTGTACATGTCCTGTGAAGACTGTATAGATGATTTTAAACTATTTAAATACCTATTGCCCCCTTCAGGTTTGATCCTGCAAATGATTGTTGTGTCCCCCATCCCCAGCCCTTAGACCATGTGGTCTTTGAAAAATAGGACCAGCCCAATTTTTGTAAAACATTTGGTACAAAGGTAGCAACGTGGGGTGGCAGCCGCCTGTAACCGTTTGGGTAACCAATAAGCTCATTCTTATTAGTTACTCATTTAAACAGCTAAATTCTTACATCCCTACTAAGCACATGTGCTTGCATTTTCTTCAAAAGCAGCTAACCATTTTACCACACAACTCTTTCTAAGAAGGGGCACTTTGTTCCTAAGGTAAAAGCATTCCAGAGAAAACATATTAAAAACAATAACGGAACCTACGTGCATGATAATAAACTTACCAAAGATTACCCCATCCCTAATACAGGCTCTGTCAGGAGCAATTCTCCCACACTCATCCTAAAGGGTTTTGGTTTGGTTTCAAATTCATTGCAGTTCAGCTCAGAACAAGCACCCTAGTCTTATGCGGCCTCATTAGACTAAGGCCTTCCAACCTTCCCATAAAGATTGGGGCCCTCTGTGGACCAGTGGCCCTGTCTGTTTGCAGAGGCAAGAAAAAGGTTCTGATCGTGTTTAAAACCAGGCTATTTATCCCAAAGTCCTTTCTTTGTTGGACCCTCAAGAATTGAGTGTGAAGTGATACATGTGTAGCTTTCAGGGAAGTGGCTTCAGAGGACTGATACCCAGAGAAATTTATATCAGCATCCTCTAAAGGAATTTCATACAATTCCACAATGCACATACACATCTGCATTTTTAATACAATAGACCATACAGGTATAACCCTACTTCAGTAAGGTTTAACTTAATTTGATAAAGTTTCTCCAGGATATTATAGGGTTTCTCAGTCTGTCACAATTAGTTTTCTGCTTTACAGCAACATAGGTCACAGCAGAGCCAGAAATTCAAGGACTTAACCATAGATCATAATAAAAAGGTTTTTTTTAAAAATGTCAGATAAAGTTACTGATATCAGGGATTGCACTTAATACATCTGAAGTTGTTTGTTTCCCTCCAAAGTGTTAACAGAGAAATTGTAGTGCTGGGAAAGTTTAATAGAGCTCACCAGGCAAAAAAGAAGCTGCATTCAGACACATGCTGTTTCAAAAAATCTGCTACTAGTATCAAATAAATATTCTGGTGTGGGTCAGAAAAGGATAAGGGGAAGGCTTTAAGAGTTGCTGTTAGATACAGGTAAATGCTACAGATGAAGGCGTGGGAACAGAACAACTGTAAACTACAGTATTTGGAGGTGTCCAAATTGACCTTTTTATTAAAAAATAGTCAAAATTCTAAAAACAACTCTTATACAGCATTGAATCATGAGGGTCTGTAACTTTTGGATTTGTAAATATAGCAAAGTGTAGTAATTGCAACTCAAACTCTCACCTTCCTTCCTAACACTGATCAGCTGCCATAAGTAAGTTGTCTGTAATAAAATGCTGTGTGTGTCCCATTGCCTTACATATCAATTAATCTGCCCATGGGTACAAATGTCCTTTCCAGAGGCCAGTCAGAATGCAACAAACAATTCAAGCGTCTACACTACGCCCTTCCTCTCCATGCTGTATCCAGAACACAGCAAGCTCCATGCTTCTCATCAAGGCGGTTCACCTAGAGCGCAGCAATTTTAGAGCTAGTGCACAGTAAGTGCTGTGCCAGTGTGGACACCTTGGAAGTTACACCACTGGGAGCTGATTAACTGCATAGTAACTTGCCAGTGTAGAACTTGGCCTTAAACTGTGATTGTTGTCTACCCGAGTCAGTAAGCTGGAACTAGAGACTGCTTAATGCTCTGTCCCACCCAGAGGACCAGAGCCACCAACACTAATTGACTGATGTTTGTTGCCTAATACAGGAAGACAGAGTGGCCTCCCTCCAGACCTGTGACTGAGGGGCCAGTACAGTATCCACATGTCAAGTTCTATCACTGGAATAAATTATCTGGCTGTGGAGAAGCCATATTAAAGTAGGATGCATGTGTAATTCAGAAAGCAGATGCACAAATGCTATAGCTTCAGTGTTATCTTGTGAATAATCCAAAACCACCAATGAGCTTGTCATCTTGTAACATTTCTGAATGCATTACATTGGAGCTACCCGTATGTTCCACAGAGACTAAGAAAGCTAATGTCTTCACACAATATGCGGGAATTTCCAAAGCACTTGGAGTATTTCCAGGAGAATATTCCTTTCACCTTGCCCAACAGGAGTAAAGAGGAAAGTTACTGCTTAAACTGAGTAGTCAACCTGAGTAAGAATTACATTACATACAGGTCTCACTACAAAAGCAATGACAGATGTTATTAACTCACTTGTGGTGATGGAAGAAGCCCAAGCAAGCAAACCTGACTCTCTCTTGGTTATGAGTAATTAAATAAACACATCATTCTTTGCCAACTGTCAAAGACATCATAACTAAATTTACCTCCGTGCACTGTTTGAGTGGGTGGATGTAAGGTCAAGATATTGGACAACTGCATAGACATCACAGCTATAAATTTTCAACATAGATTTTGGCTGATTCCTTTGGCTACATGGGCTCAAAATCCTTGAAAGAATTATAATTGGCAATGTAAAACAATCGCATACAGACCAAATCCAAGAATGCTTGCAAGGAAACCTGTCTCAGGCTACCTGAATATCAGCACATATCTTTTGATAATTTTCAGACTCCTTTTCTCTGCCTTTTAAATTTAGTTATTTTCTTACTTGCGTCTGACCAGAAGATGAATTTCAGTGCAAGACTAATGAGATCTATGAAGGACTAAAAGGAATTGCCGCGCTCAGTGTTGATTCCCTATTATTTGTATGATAAAACAAAGGAAGTGATTCACTCCTTCATGCTATCCTTGAGAGAACACATGAAAAAAGGTCTATCACTGTCTCTGTTTCAAAACATAAGATATTTTGAACCTTTTCTGGATATGAGGTGGTATCAAACCAGATCCAGTTTATGCAATGTAAGCTTATAATGATAGAAACAGTTCTTAGTGTGTTTTAACTACCTATGAAAAATTGTACCAGACTGAAATCAACTATATCACTGTGGTGGCTTCTACAAAGAGATACTGCATCTGGAGTAAGCAAACCACGTTGCTTTTTCGAATCCTTGAAAAAAAATGCTGACTCTCTAATACTAGTCTCAAAGGGGTAATCCAACTCATGACTACTAATTGTCTCTAATACTAGCTGTCTACAAATGAACTTGTTTCAGGGCTGCTCCCAGAAGGTAATGTCCTATATTACAAAAGTCTTATATACCACAGAGAATAATTATGCATGTGTATAAAAGAAAACTACATGTAATTGTGTTTGGGTGCAAGTTCAGTAAAATGTGTGCTCCAGGTCTGGGTTGCAGCTGAATCAACTATTTAAACAATTCCTGAAGAGATCCCCATCTAGAATGGATCAAAACCACCTAGAATGGAGCTCTGATGGTGTAAATAGAGTATTGGCATTGTTCATCTGCCAGGAAATGATCAAATCTATTGCAGGCACTCTGTCAAGAAAATAAACACTCATAAAAATAGTAGTTCATAGGCATGCAGCTATATACAATACTCCAGAATATTCCAGCAAATGTCCAAAAAATGACAGAAATTGAAAATCAGCAAATAAAAGTTCTGAAGCCAGTAGTACTGGATGAATGGGCAGACAGTAGAAAAGTTCTGCTCCAAACATTGTAAATTAATGGAACTACTACAGTGCACATCATTAACAATGGCTTATTAGACTTATAGCAGAAATGTTTGGATCACACAAATTTTAAAAATGAAAAAGTAATTCTATAGAAAACAGTTAACATCAGTGTGCATTGTGGTAATACACATTGAGTTCATTGGCATGGAAAAATGTAAATAAAGAGCCCAAGATGTTCTTTTTTGGCTCTACTGTGTGTCAACCAAAATTGAACAATCATTAATGATGTCAGCAACACTTGAAAAGTTCAATGTATGAGTCATATTAAGAAGAAAAATAAGGATGCTACTGAAATGCCAACAAGATCATTTGTATATGTGCACCAATTTAGATTATATAAATGTTGTAGATTATTATAACAGATTTTTCAAATAAAAGAATTGGAATGCTACAAGAAGAATGGCACCAAATATAAAAGCTACATGTGCTGGACATCCTTGAACAAATTATCTTTGCCAATTGTAAAAAAGGTTGCATACAAACCAAATCCAAGAATGCTGGCAAAGAAACCTGTCTTGAGTGATTTGAGTGTTAGCATATATCTTTTGATAATTACTTTCTCAGTTGTTGGCATGCATATGTATTCCCTCCAAACTGTTTCCTAAAAGAAACATGAAACTTGATGTTGTGAAGGCAAACCAGATATAGGCATTCAGTGACAAAAAAAAAAAATCTACTAAGTCATTGTTGATGTGCACTGCCACTTTGGGAAGCATAGGACAGGGACTTGCTGCCCTGAAATAAGGAAATGCCCCCAAAAAATAATACTCATCTGCCCCATAAAATGAAGTACCATTAAAAAGGAAGATAATAAGATCAAAAATAAAAGCAGCATTATTTACCATTAAAAGGAAAAAAGGCCAGAGACTCAATTCAATTCACTAGGGATTTCACTGTTGCTGTTGATTTTTATGCACAGGCACTCAGATATTATTGTCAAGTGCCTGTATAAAACTCCAAGATAGATAAAAGAGACATCACATGGTCGTACCCCTGGTTGAATGTGAACATCCTCATTGGATATGATATTAAAAAATTCTCTATTCACCAGACCCATTGCTAATATTCTTGCTTAGGTGAGAACTGTTAACACTATATCCACCAAACTGTGCCTTCCCAACCCCTTAACTCTAGTTTCAACCACAATTTTCAACCACATAAAGCAAGAATTACAAATAAGACCAATATTATCTAAGGAACACTGCATAGACCTATCCCTCAGACGTCATACAGTTTATAAACCTAGAAAATGTGAAAACTTTCAGAAACTATTTTGGTTTACAGAAAAATTGCTGCCTCGATATCAAGGTTTCTCAAGTATCCTCATTCTTTTGTTTCAGTGTAAAATCTTTCTCAAGTCCACTTCTATGTTCATTTTATCACTGTTATTACAGTTAATTCATATTATTTGTTAATACTGTGATTGCACAGTGTGCTTGAGTCATTTTGATCCTGAAGGATAAAAATATCCTCCCTTTTCAATTCTTGCCAACAACATTTTGAGAATTTTGTATTATTTCTAAAAATAATTCAATATCTTTTGTACCCGCATTAATTTAGAAACATTAGTTTAATAATAAGATTTCTGACACATAGCTCATCTGCCTCTGTTTATTGTCACTTTGAAATCATAATTCTATTCGCGGCATATTTGATTGCTGTGAAGATTATCATAATGTCTCAAAATACTTGAGGAGCAGATGAATACTTTATAAGAAAAGATCGTATTGTTATACAGTTATTCTTGGTGACTTTTAAACTGGGAATTAAAAAATAGATAGCATGTAAAGATAATTGTTTCTAAATAGAAAGCTTTTCAGTGTTTCCCATGAGATGTCAGCAGCTCTTTAAAAAAAATTGCTTCTTAAGCTTTTGTACAGTAAGTGCTGAAGAAACAATTGTATTCTCTAAGGCCATTTAATTGCTATTATTTTTCATTCATTAGTTTTCCCCTTTATTTTTGACTAGATGACCCTAGAGGCAAACATCAAAAAAAAATCCAAAGCAAAACTCAGAATTACCTTAATCTGTATGCGGTAGATGGGCTGCGGACCTTATGTATTGCCAAGAGAGTAAGTATATGCAGGTTCTTAGTTTGCTTTTAAGGAGAGTATTGACAAATCTTTTTGCTGTAGTCCATTAGCAAGAACATTTATTAGGTTTTTTTTTTTCATTTTTCTAGTAATGCATGAATGCTTTTGCATATTTTGGATGTACCTTTACCTTCTCTTTTTAAATAGGTTCTAAGCAAAGAAGAATATGCTAGCTGGTTAAAAAGTCATTTAGAAGCAGAATCTTCTATTGAAAACCGCGAGGAGCTGCTGTTTCAATCTGCACTTCGTATGGAGACAAATCTGCATCTACTTGGTAATTACATGAGAGTTGGACATGAAATTAAAGCGTGTTTAAAAAGTTCAAAGCTCAGTTTTAAACTGCTCTATTTAAATTATTTCTGTGCCTTCACAAATTGGTTATTACAAGACTTTCTCATGAGTGTCTCTTGCATCATCACAAAAGAATGGGATAATAAGTAACACACACATCCTGTTTGTCACAGTTTGATCCCTGATGTAATACCAATTAAAAGAATGGAGTAAGACCAGGGATGAACCTAACCCCTTATCTTAAATGAGATTTGCTGACCTAAGTAAGAAAAGTAGAATGTGGCCCATTTTTTCTGCCTATTTTTGTCACGGTGGTGCATCTTGAAAATACTTGAGATTTGTTTTGTCCTTCTGAGGCACTGGAAACGTTGATGATGTGCATTGTATTTATGGTTTAATGGATTGAGGAGGCAGGAACTCATTTCCTCCTGGGCTGTCTATCTGTCCATTGGCTATGCCCTGAAGTCCATACAGCCCTGAAGATTATTGATTACATAGTCCTAGACCAGTACTTTAAAATATTACCAGTACAAATGCAAACATGGGTTCACAGACATAACCCTGACTTACTTACTGATGTGGTCCAGGCTGCCGAGGATTTTCTGCCCACTGCTGAGGCTAGCAAATCTACCATGCCATGGCCTGACACCTGGTAGGCCTAGAGCTCAAAAGATCCAGCACTTCTCCCTCAGCTACAGTGGCAACTCCCTGTTGAGGACAGAGTCTCTCACAATCCTGCTCCAGTAAAAAAAAGCTGTTCTTATTAGTGATCGTGGTGGTCAGCATTTCATTTACATTTGTTTGGTTAATGAAGGCGATTTTAAGACGCAGTCATGAGGGAACAGTTTGAGCAGCCAAGTCTTCTTTTTTTTAATTGATTTACTTGCTTTGTTCATGCATTCAGGTGCCACTGGCATTGAAGACCGTTTACAGGATGGGGTCCCAGAGGCCATTGCAAACTTGCGTAAAGCTGGCCTGCAAATTTGGGTTCTCACTGGAGACAAGCAAGAAACAGCCATTAATATAGCATATGCATGCAAGCTATTGGATCACGATGAGGAAATCCTCACCTTGAATGCTGGATCATTGGTAAACAGATCCTTGGGAGACGGTTAAATGTTATGTTGAAGTCTAAATGTGAACAGTTTTGCTTTGATTTTTAGCAGCTGCCGTTAGAAGGTTGATTCCTTTCTTTCTTCTCCTTTATTTTTCTTCTTCATGTTCAGTCTATATTTCAGGGATAGGATGTGTACAGTGGTGTAGGGCTGGTGGCTGAGTGGAACCCAAGCCCAGCGGCAGAGCCCCTGAGCATCTGCGGCCCAGCAGCCAGCGGCAGGGGCATGTAGCCAGAGCACTCAAAATCTGGGGGTGCTGTAGCAACCCCACACTCCTATCTTCCGCACCTATGGATTGTATGTGGATACTTACTTATTATTTATACTCCCTGGTTGTAGTTCCTTGTATCATGATACAAGTTGAAACTAAATATAGCAGCACCACTATGCATGAATATTTATCACAGCATAATACGAATGCCTTTCTTTGGTATACATTTTAATGTCTTTCTGAGCCTGATGCCCACTGTATAAACTCCATAGTCCCGCTGTGTCACAATAACTATTTTTCAGTATACAAAAGCCAGGACCAGCATTAGCGTGCAGCAAGCAAGGCATCTTGTCCCACATCACAAGAGGGCCTATAAAGCTAAGTTACTTGAGCTTTGGCTTCAACCCCAGGTGGCAGGGCTTGGCACCCCAGGCTTCAGCCCCATCTGATGGGTCTTCTGCTTTCTGCGCTGGCACCCAGCAGAAATAATGCTGACCCTGGTTAGTGACACACCTGAAACTTGCTTGCAGCCTCCCAGGGGACCCAAACTACTGGTTGGGAGCCACTGTGTTATACCATAGATCAGGGGTGGACAATCCATTTAACAAAGAGAGCCAAACAGTGGCGGGAAAAAAATGCAAAGAGCCGTACCAAAATTGTCAAACAAAAAAAAAAAAAAGCCTCCAGAACCGAATTGTTGAGCAAAAAGAAAAAAAGCCCCCCCAGAACAGATTTATAGAGCAAAAACAAAAAGGAGACTACCCCCTTTAAGACGGCCACCATCTTGGGCACCAATTTTTAAATCCCGCACCTCCAACCCTGTAAGCACAGGGAAGCCGGGGGTCAGGGGGAGGAGCCGGTGGGGGCTGTTTGGGAGTTCGCAGGAGCGGCTTTACGAGCCGCACTTTTGGGGGGCAACAGCGGCATGCGGCTCTCAAGCCGCGGGTTGGCCACAGCTGCCATAGATGCCTTACGGGACATAAGTATTCATTTATTTCTTATTGGCATCCACTGCAGATACAAGAGCCATCTACCATATGTATTTTAAAGGAGAAAACAATGAATTATTGAGAATTATTTTAAAACCAATGGACTCTAATACTAGGTAATTCAGTCATTCATACTCTGCTACATTGACTTTTTCATTTGATGGTAAGGAAGATGTTTGAATTTCAGTGCTCATAGTCATTGATAACCTGAGCTACAGTCAGACATTGCTCAGCTTGTCTTAAATACATAATAGCAAGGAGTTTGCTGATACAGTCAAACAGATAAGGAATCAGATTGATAGCACCAAAGTAATTAAATGTGGTCATCAACTCAGCTTTCAAATCCAGAGCTTGCGGTAGACTAGAACTATCCAACTACAATTCCTTTTGAAAGGAAAGGGAAAGGGAAAGGAAAGATAATGAGATGTTCCAGTCTTGAATGTATAAAGTTAGCTGGTAAATTGATTTCCTATGGTCTCACTTCTTTACTTCTGATAAATTGACAAATATTTCACTACCAGACTGGTAGTATTTTATCTTACGTGTTCAGATGTTCATAATACATTCTGTTAATTAAGTTTGGTTTGGTTAAAATATAGATTTTAAAATACGTGAAATAATCTTTAATTGTCATTTACAAATACCTGATTAATGATTTGATTAATAGTCATTCTGTGATGTTCATTACCATGGTTAGTTGAGCGCTGATTCTCATTATACCACATGCCAATTCTGTTACTCTGAAAATAATCTGAAAGAAATTAATTTAAAAGCACTACAGTTTAAAAAGGAAACATAATTTCTTTTGAGCCCTTTTTTATCCATTGCTAGCAGTGTTTTCTCCAACAAAAATTAAGTGTTTTTAGCTGGAGTAAAGAAAGAGCAAAGAATAATATAAATAAAAATTGTTAAAGTGGAATCAGTATTGAATGCTCTATAAAGTTCCCCATTTCTAAATCTATAACAAGCATGGTAAGTTGATTATATGATCCCACAGCAGCAACTTCCAATTAAACATTTTTTTTACTATATTTCAGGAGACAAGTGCTGCTTTGCTGGACCAGTGTCTGCGGTATATAGAGTCTAAGTTTTCAAACAACGCAATAGACAAGACTGCAGGAAACATGACAGTTGGATTTGGACCTCTCTCTCCACCTTCATCTTCAGTGAATTCCAGCTTGGGCTTAGTGATTGATGGAAAGACTCTGGCTTATGCTCTGGATAAAACACTAGAAGATAAATTTCTTTCACTAGCCAAGAGATGTCGTTCAGTTCTGTGTTGTCGCTCTACCCCACTGCAAAAAAGCATGGTAGTAAAATTAGTCAGAGATAAACTCAAAGCAATGACGTTGGCAATAGGCAAGTATCCTCATTTAAGTGAACCTATAGTTACTTTCATGCACCCTTTGGGAATTTCCCTTTACTTCTGGACACTTCCAAAGCCTAAAAATTCAATTTTAGTTTGAAAATGCTTCTGTGAGCTTAAGATCATTTATTCCCAACAAAAATAGAATTTCTGTAGTGACATCCGGGATTCCTTCCTGCAGAAGTTGGTCAAATGGAGTTGGCTGACTCCACAATGATGCTTGCATATAGCAATGTTTTGTAAAGAATTGAGTGAGCTGACACGATTGACTGTAGCTTTGCAGTACAAATCAGAACAAATCTGTGTTCAGAGTCATTTCAGTTGATCACAATTAAACCCCAAGCCACTGATTTTTAATTGTGAGTTGGCAACTGTGCTGAAGACCGGTTGTCCAGGACTATATGTATTGCAAAGTTGTGATCACCATCATGTCAGCCAACATAGTTCTTCCCTATTTTCCATTATGTGGTTTTTCATGGGGACTGTAAGTCATCCAGTCAGTCATCCAGTTCAAAATCCTACAGCACCCACAAAGTTACCACTTGTTAAATTGAGAAAGCTCTGCTTGTTCCTCACACAGCCCTCCTTTTTCCCACTCTGTCACAGAGTGTATCTATTATGCTGAGCCTCATGCCCAATTTTAGGGTCCCTTAATACTTCCAGTCACTTAATATGCAGCAGGAAAGTTTTCAGGAGTTTGTTTCCCTCTTACACATGGACTGCTTAATATTCATACAATGCAGACATGACCTCTGCAGTCTAGCTCCCATTAAAGAGCCCAGTCATACAGAAGTACTCCATTTATGTTTCCTTGGCATGATACATGAAAAACCTAGATAGATGGACATGAAGGGCGTGGTGGTCCCTTCTAAAGTTCTGAAATTGTAGTTCCATGAAGTACAGGTGTTTCAAACGAGATCCCTATGCCATCCCTTCTCACTGATGTTCACAGTACTTGTCTTTCCTTTGTTTTTCTGCTTTAATCATCTCTACTTTAATAATATCAAATAATATGGAATCCTTTTCTTACTAGGTGATGGAGCTAATGACGTCAGTATGATCCAAGTAGCAGACGTGGGTGTGGGGATCTCTGGTCCAGAAGGCATGCAGGTAATGTAGTTTATTGAAAAGATTTCCCAGGAAAAATTTGGACCAAATGTTTTCTGTACATCTGCTTGCATCTTGCCTCCTAGTCAGCTGGAGCAAGTTATCTCTTGACAGACAGCAAAAGTAAATGAGTAAGTTGCAAACTGTCCTGAAGTGTACCAGTTGGGCTTTGTAAAAATCATTTATGCTTGAATTAGAGCATATGTTTCTTCTCCAATCTCTAAGGAGCTTAAACAGTTTACATTCACCTCATAAAACTCAAATTGCAAGAAGTCTTTCAGCACATTTACTTTTTAAAAGAAATCAGTTATTCATTTTTAAAAACCCTCAGCTATGTTCTATTTCTATAATAAATAAAGATTACATTTACTTCTTGCATTTTCCTCCTCTCACTTTTATTCTTCCTATGTCTTGCACTGGTCCTGTAAAATTATCTTGTGGTGTGGCTGGACAAATCCATTTATCGAATGCAGCTAAGATAGGAGGCACTGAAGAGTATACGCCACAGAAGGTTGCACGTGCTACTTGTGTTCCAAGCCATCCCATTCAGACTATATGTCTGTGTTGTGCACAAGACCTGCTCTCCTCTTCCCGCTGGTACATACAGGTCAGATATGGGTCTTACGCTACAGCTCTTGGGATATGAGTATGTAGCTGCAGCAAGAGTTAGGGGAGTGCTAGTTTGGGAGGGGAGCCAGACCACCTTCAATTGTTAGATAGCATAGTTGAGAGCTGAGATTGCCTCCTGAACTCTGTTTTTGTTAGGTGGTCCCCATCTCCACACTGTAGTTGTGGGAACTGTGACTTGTCAGGAGGACAGCCCCTCATTCCTATTACCATGCAAGAGGGTAGAGTAAATGACATCTCTTGTTCAGTGGGTGTTGCCTTCTTGGTTAATCTGCACTTTGGTACAGTCCAAGGATACAGATTGAGGTCGTGCAGACTGTGATGGAGCCAACGGGCTCCGCACTCCTGGAGCAGGGGCCGCACAGGAGGAGACTCTGCACGGCGATGTGGCTACTGGGAGCCGGCGCGGGCACCACTTGTGGCGGAGCCGTCACGCTCTGTGTACCAGGGCCGGAGATTGTGCCGGAAGAGGCAGGGGCGATGGCGCCGCTGCAAGACTCCTGTGCATGCGTGGCCAAGACAAGTGGCTGCGATGAGCCAGCCCCTCCCTTACGTAAGAGGAGGGAGAACGTGCGACGGGCCGGCGTGCGCTCCGTACGGCTGGGGCGATGTTGTGGCACAGTCTTCAAAAGAGACCGGCCGCTGTTCAATGGGGGGGAAGCAGGAGAGGTAAGCGGGGACAGAGCAGTGCACAGGAGGAAGGTGGGGGAGTAGGTCTGTCGCCAGGGCAGTCAGGATCTGACAGGCCAAGCGTCGGAGGTCGGGCAAGGAAGGAAGAAGGCAGGGAAGAGGGTGAGTAGGAAGTGGCCCCGGGCAGGGCATGGGGCCCATGGGTCGACGTGTGTTGGGCAGTGTCCCTGTCAACCGTAGGAAGAAGAGAGAGAATGATCTCACCTCCCTTAGGGCCCGGGAAGGGACCCAGAGGAGTGGGCGGGCCCAGGTCCCCCTACCTCCCATCTCGCTGGCGTGAAGCGGAACGCGGAAAGGGGCGACTATTGTATTATCTGGAGAACTAGTGGCTGCATTAAAGACGCTGATCCTGCCATACAGTGGCCATTATACTGGTTTGGGGGAAAATACCCGGGCACGGGCGGGCAGTAGGACCCAGACCAGGACCCTGGGGCGACGCGCCCATAGGGTGTGGGGTGCTCCCGCTTACATGGACCACATGAAGTCCTTTTCCTGTTTGTCTGACAATCTGGCTGGGAAGAAGCTGCTCCTGCTGAGATTTGTGGGGATTCACTCAATATGCGTGTATCTCTGGCCATCGTTCCTGACAACCTGATGGCTAAATGTGGCAGGGCAGTTGGGCAGTAAAAGGTGAAAGCTTGGGTTAGGACTGGAATAGGATTGTTGTTTGGGTTTTTTTTTAAACAGGGTGTTGTGCTGTAATCAGGATCCAAGTAAGGATGAGTCTGGGGGCCTCACATAGCTTGTGTAGGTTTTACAAGCATGGGTTGAATAGAACCCAACAAGCATAGAATCCAGAGCAGGCTGTTTACAAGGGTCCATTTGAAAGCCTGTTGAAGTCAGTGGGAGTCTTTCCATTTACTTCATTGCACTTTGCATAGGCTCCTAGCATCTCTGCATGAACTCAAACCACTGATTTCTCATGAACATCTGAGCTTATAACATCCCACATCTCTTACTCTCTGGTTCTCCTTTTTCTGCCTTCCAAGTCTGCTTTTCCGTTGATCTTGTAATTCTGAGACATCTGGTCTTTCAGTGTCCCTAGCTGTTTGAGTGCATTCTTATCTGAAAGCCTGTCATTTCGCTTGTTATTCCATTAAACCACCTGGATTATTTCTCTCTTTATGTTTATTTTTTAATGAATGTTCGCACATTGTAGGAAGGCTTATGGATCCCCTGCCTTTGATCCCAGGGTTCCATAAGAAGCCACGCATGCCTTTGTACAATAAACAGCTGTCAAAATTGTATACATGCAGGTACTTCAAAGGAGTCAAGCATCTGGATCTCTCAGACAGCAAACTGACTGATTTATTTTTCTTTCACAACCTATGGAAGGAACAGCATGGATTATGAACCATGCTTTCCTAGGAAAATCTAGGGGGGCGGACTAGAATTAAAATGTCAAATCCAAATGATCTTTTGGGATAAAATAAACACACAAGTGTAATTGGATAAAACTGTCTTTCCATTAGAATGTGTTTTGGAATAATTTGGTAGAAATATAAAATTAAGAGAAATAAACAATTTTACCTCATTATTCCACAGTAGATTAAGAACATGTGTAGAGGAGAAGGAGAAACAGATGCAGGCATCCTTATGAATGAATAAGACACTAAACAAATTGCAAATTATAAAAGCAATACAGCTGTAGGTGGAATCTGTGGCCAACTCAATGACCTGCAGAGATCTAAAGCAACTGATATGCTGCTCCATTCATAATGAGCTCCTAATTCTTAAGAATACTTTATCTTGAATTTTAGACAGTCAAAATTAGCTATGATATAGAAAGAAATCATGCTGATTCATATCATAGATATGATTTGGCAGGTTCTAAACTTTCAAGGGAACTTCTTTTGTAATGATTTCTCACAATTTACCAAACTTGCATATATACTTAAAAACAAATTTCCTTAGAGTACTGGGATCTCAGAGGAATGTGAGTTGGACTACATTTGAAAGTCAAGATAATGATCATTAATTAAATTATTTTGCTTTTTTTGCTTTTAACTCAACTCCTTTTTAGCCTTTTTAACTTATCATGATACAACATGTTGTTTGTCTCGCTCTCCCCATTTATCTCTCCTGCGCAAAATAATAATGTTGTCTTTGTATTTCTTAAAAAGAGAAAAGCTTACAAGCATCATCTCTGAGAATCTGTGCAGTCACACTCAACTATAACTCTTGGCCCTTTATCACCCCACTTCCTTCCTGCCATTTGTTACTCATTTCATCATCTTCAATATTATAGATTTTAATATAGAAGCAAGGATCCTGTCATTTTTGTGTGTTCTGTAAAGCACCTGTTTTGCTTTGGGACACTATAAAATTATAACTGTCAAAGCTAGGGATGTCAACATGAAGTTGACTCTACAATTAACCAATAAACCTAGTATTATCGGTTAATCCTATCTACTACACACTTCCCCCCCACCTAACACAGGCAGCAAGCGGGGGGAGAGAAACCAGTGCCATGGGGAGTCAGCTTTTAAGCTGGCTCCCCACAAGCACCGTATCCTGTGGAGCTGCCCCCTCTCCTTCCCCCCCCCCCCCCCCCCCACCCCCGCCACAAATGGTAAAGGGGAACAGGCAGGAGCCAGTACATACGGAGAGCTAGCACCCAGGAGCCGCCTGCCCGCCCTGCCCCTCTTGCTGTCTCTCACAGAGGCAGCGGGGGGAGGGGCAGGCAGGTGCCAGTGCTCAGGGGGAGCTGATACAAAGGCAGCAGAGTGGAGTGGCAGGGGGCTTCCCAGGAAGGGGGTCGGGAATACACTGGCACTGGCCCTGCATCAGGGGCCTATTGAATAATTGTGTAACAGCAAAGTTTTGATGTGGTTACACAATTATTCAATTAGTCTGTATCAGGGGTGGCCAACTCGTTACAGATGAAGAGCCAAAATAGTGGTGGATACCAGTGCAAAGAGCCAAGGGAAAAAGTTGTTGAGAACAACACTCTCCGCCCCCACCCTCCGACTGCCATTTGGTCGAGCCGCAATTTTTTCTTTGAAGAGCCATGGGTTGGTCTATATCTAACCTCCCTAGACAAAGCATTGAGGACACAATGGGCCAGACTCTTCTTTCACTTACCCCAAGGTGGATTTTAATGAAGTTACTCTTCATTTACATTTGTGGATGTTCGTTGGATGCTTGCTGGCATTTTACAATAATGATTTCAACTCTTCTTTCATTGAAGGCAGTGATGGCGAGTGACTTTGCAGTCCCAAGGTTCCGGCATTTGGAGAAGCTCTTGCTTGTTCATGGGCACTGGTGTTATTCCCGGCTTGCTAATATGGTGCTGTATTTCTTCTACAAAAATGCAGTAAGTGTTTGACTTGACAGTTTTGTGGCTCTGCATGTTTCTAGGGTTTATTTTGTGTGAAATGAGCATGAGGTCAGCCTTCAAATGGTTTATAAATAAGCTGCAAAGAAGCTTGCGGAGTTGAAAGACAGCTGGCTGCCATTCACAGGAATAGCAGGCCCCACTCTGTGACAACTACAGTGTGCTGAAGAATGTGCAAATTAAGAAACATGAATAAGAAATGCTGCTTAACAAAAGTTTCTTTATAGAGCAGCACCTTTCACAAAAATCTAGCTAGATAGATAGAGGAGCCTTTAATGCCAAGTCCAATCTGTGCTGATCTGAAGTAGAAGTAGGTGTGATTTCTCTTTCTAATCCTGTTTTATAATTGTTTATGCAAATTATAAATTGTCCCCAGTGATCTGAGCTAATTTGGGCCTTCTAGATTTGTCAGACAAGCATATTGGAAGTGTTTTTGTTTTCCCTTACTTCCTTCAGCCAAATAAGTACACCATGAAAGGAGCATATTCCAATACATATCAAAGTATGGGCCTGAATCTCCTCCTTATTACAACAATGCCAATCATGAATATCTCCGTTATTAGATACTGGGCTATTAAAAACTCAGCTCTTCAGCCCTGCCTGAGTCCCTTTGCATCACTCATATAGCATTGAAAAGTCATCTCAGGTTTCCTTCAGCATGGAAGAGTCATTGGCTGGCATGAAGATGCTATGGATTTGCATCACTTGCTCATTCTGTTGCAAGTAGGGATCATGAAGGAGAGGGATCACACACAGCACTCCTGATCTCCAGAGCATAATAGGAGTGAGGATCCATCCTTGTGTGTCTAACTGAGAGGGCAAGTAGCGCCTGGTACAGTTAAGGTTGTTTTCAAACTTCTATATATGAGAAAATTATAAGCCACGATTAAATATCTTTTGGCCTAAAGATTCCATGTCAGATCTCAGTCCAAAGTTAATTTTTAACTGTCGTAGGACAGGACTGTATTTTTTTTCTCAAATTGCTGACCTGCATAGTGCTAGACAGATAATAAAAACTGTCATTGGGTGAGCAATCTTTCCATGAACATGGGCATGACATAAACATGCTAAGCATGGTCTGATCAGAAATGAAATATTTACATACTTTCAAAAACTAATCAAATGCTTCCAAATTCTGAAGTTCCAAACATCTCACTGAGCCTTAAAAAGCCAGCCAAGTTTGAACAGTTGACTTACGCTAGAGCTCCCACCATTGCTACCATAGGTGGAGTTGCACTTGCAGAAATGCAATGTCAGGAAACTTACAGAAAAATGCCAGCATACATAGACTCATGATGCTAGTATACATGGATTGATGTGTTGAGTATCTGCACCTTCCTATCTAGATATTTCTGGTGTGCCCATCACCCTGGTAATATTGAATCAATGAAAGTGGAATATTATCCTTTCGGAGAAATGTACTCAGAGCAATTTTATTTTTAAATGAACACATGCTCAAGAATGATATATGTAAGAACATTCCAGTGATCAGCATGAAAGGATTCAATGTATACATTTGCATTTGTGTTCAATCCTTGTAAAATCTTACATTCCTCTACACCCTTCTCCCCTCACTCCTGATGACGAGTATTATTTTTCATGCCACATTTAGTAAGACATCCAACTGCAGACATTTTCTGAAGCTGTTGCCCCAAGACTTAACAAACTTAAGAATATTTATGTTTGCTCTTCTTCTGCTGCCTTCAGAACCCTTAAGAGCATTCCTACTAACTCTGAAACCACAGTGGGAAATCCAATTTAGATGTTTCAGACATATAGTGGCTTCCCTCAAGAAAGAATTCTAACTTCTTCTAAGATGCAAGCACCTGATTTATTCACAAGGGGACCGCTCTTGATGAATTGTCCACAGGGAATCAAGATAACCGTGCTGCATACATTCTGTTAGATCTTCTATCGCCTCACGTTTTTACATTTGTGTGTAGTATGTCAATCTCCATTCTGCTGTAGAACCTATCTAGCTCATAGTTTAATCCCAGATTCATGCACAAACCCTCTCCAGAATTTTAAAAGGTGCTTCTGTCTAGGCCCTAGTTGGTCACGTGGTTGCTTGAGGCAGAGTATGAAAAGGAAGAGAAAGCTGGGTCAAACAGATGCCAAGGGAGAGGACACAGTCCCTCTCCTTCTAGCTAGCTAAATTGGGGAAAGCCTCTGAGAATTACGGCTAAGTGTTATTAGTTGATAAGAATATAAGAACGGCAATACTTGGTTTGAGCAAAGGGCTATCTAGCCCGGTATCCTGTCTTCCAGCAGTGGCCAATGCCAGGTGCCCCAGAGGGAATGAGCAGAACAGGGAATCATCAAGTGATCTATTCCTGTCACTCATTCCCACCTTCAGGCAGAGCCTAGGAACACCATCCCTGCTCATCCTGGCCAACAGCCATCGGTGGACCTATCCTCCATGAATTTATCTAACTCTTTTTTTGAACCTTGCTATACTATTGGCCTTCACAGTATCCTCTGAAAAGAAGTTCCTCAGATTAACTGCATTGTGTGAAGAAATACTCCCAAGTCCACCCTGTGTGTTTGTTTTAAACCTGCTACCTCTTAATTTCATTTGGTGACCCTTTGTTTCAGGAAAATAGGAGTAAATAGCACTTCATTACCTAGTCAGGATTTTATAGACCTCAATCGTATTCCCTCTTAGTTGTTTTTTTTTCCCAACTGAAAAGAGATTCTGTGGTACAGTTGATTCGCTTAAGATTTTACCTCATTTGATTCTACACTTTCTTTCACATAGAGTGCCACTTTTCCACCAGCACAACCTGTTTTATCCTTCCAATATGTTTTGAACCTTGGTATTACTACAACCCATTGATTATTCTCCTTCCACCAAGTTTCTGTGGTGCCTACTATATCAATATCCTTATTTAATATGAAGGTATCTTATTTAGTCTTCTAGCATTGTATATAAGTACATGCTATATAAGTACTTTAAAAATGTGTCATGTTTTAGCTGTCTAACATTTCATGATGTATTTGAGCAAGACACTTTTTTATTTAATTTTTTTTTATCACATCCTGCCTCCATTTTATCATATTTCATCCTCTCCTCTTTACTAAGACATAGAGAATCTCCATTAATAGATCCTACCGTTAGGGATATCTCTGTCCAAACTAACTAAATGCTCTTCCACACCTGTCAGCTTTCCCTGAGCTCTTAGTTTAAAATCTACTCTACAACCTTTTTGATTTTAAGTGCCAGTAGTCTGTTCCCTTTTGGTTTAGGTGGAGCTCATCCTTCCTGCATAGGCGTCACCTTTCACAAATGTTTCCCAAGTTCCTGATAAATCTAAACCCCTCCTGTATACATCATCATCTCATCCACGCATTGAGACCTTGCAATTCTACCTGTCCTACCTCTGGTTGAGTAGCAGTGAGCTTTATATAGCTCTGATCTTCCTGAGTAGCCCTGCCCCCTAGTTAGACATAGATGGGTGCTAAAAGGCTCATTAGCCATAATGAGGATCAGTGCCTCATTAAGTAGCTCTCAGCCTTTCCTAGTGGACCACTAGGCTCAGCACACACACAGTCAGTACACAGTCCCCCAAACAAACAGATCACATGGCATATTTAAGTCAAGCAGCAAGCACACGACTAACACAGATACACACACAATGAACCTACCTCCCAAGGGTTTGCTTTCAGTTTTTTGTGATTCTTTGGTGGATGGATAATCCACAAGCCTGGAGAACAGCACCTCAGAAGGATTGAGACGTGGATCTTTATTTCCTTTCCTGGCTGTAAAGCTACCCACTAGCTAACATATTCCTTTTCAAGGGTACAAGATGTACCATCCTGCTTCCCCTCAAAGCTGAACAAAGCACGTTCTCACTTCCAGAAACACGTCACCTCCACTGATAGGCAGATACATCTCTAACAGCCAGACTCTGCAGTTTAAATGAACCCCAGCTGTTCTACAGACACTTCAGCCTTGCTGGTCTGGTTGTCTATCCTGCATACATGGTAGAAAAAAGTAGATAGTGTGATTTGTCCATCCCTGAGTGACCCCAGCCATGCTGGAGGCAGCATTTCCAATACCAAGATCATCACGCTCCCTCAATGTGAATGATTCACTTTTCCATTTTAAAGAGAGGATTGTAGGATGTTAAATCTCCATCCACTGTTAGTCGGATGAAATTGAAAAACAAAGATAAAACTATGGGGCTAATGTAGGCATTCAAAGTTGCAAATGAAGCCCGGGATTTAAATATCCTGGGTTTCATTTGCATCTTGCCAGGCACCGCCATTTTTAAATCCCCCTTAGTGCGGCCTCCGTGCCCGCGGCTACACGCGGCACGGAGTAGGTAGTTCGAATTAGGCTCTCTACACCTCGTACCGGTAGTTCGAATTAGAGAGCCTAATTCAAACTACCTACTTCATGCCGCGTGTAGCTGCAGGCACGGAGTCCGCACTAAGGGGGATTTAAAAATGGCGGTGCCTGGCAAGATGCAAATGAAACCCAGGATATTTAAATCCCGGGCTTCATTTGCAACTTTGAATGCCTACATTAGCCCCATAGTTTGAACTAGGGTGGCAGTGTAGACATACCCATGCTGTTTAAATCAAACACAGCTAAACAGTTCTGCAATTGTATCCTCCAAGCTGTGCTCCTCTGATTACAATCTTGAAAAGAGATTGAGGATCACTGGGCTATTCAGCTATTTACTTTGCCCTGGATGCATCTCCAGAAAATTCTCAAACCAGCACAAGATACTGAAATAGAAACGTAGTCCTCCTTTTGACCGTAACAGCACAGAGTTCTGCATTCATCAAAGACATATGGAACTCCAGAAAAATGTCATTATTCACTTACGTTTAGTTGCATTTTTACAGTTGTAATTGGATTGAAAATTAATTTCATGTGTGGCAGATCGAAGATCACAATCCTGTTGAGACACTTTAAGCATGAGTAGTGGGAATTTGAAATAAAAAAGATCAGTTGTCCTTAAGGAGGATTACTCATGATTTTAAGATTAAGCACATGTGCAAGTCTTTGAGGGATTGAAGGCAACATGATTTCACAGAGTTTGGAGAGACAATGTACTAAGATTTACACTGTTGTGTTTTTTTAACTTGTTTTAAATTCCTGACTAATCATGCCTTATGTACTGTTGATTTGATTGCAGATGTTTGTGGCCCTTCTCTTCTGGTACCAGTTCTATTGTGGGTTCTCTGGGTCTTCCATGATTGATCAGTGGTACCTGATCTTCTTTAATTTATTATTCTCTTCTCTCCCACAACTGGTCACTGGTGTGCTGGATAAGAATGTACCAGCTGAAGTGCTAATTGGAGTACCTCAGCTCTACAAAAGTGGCCAGAACATGGAGGTAAAAACTTTGCCTTTCAGAAAATTTTTTTGTGATGGTCATAAGTTTAAATGAAAACAAATCTTATTGGCAAAGGACACGTTGGCTCCAAATAAAGCTAAGGAATGGGAGTCTGAGACATAGTTTTTTCTTGTTTGTTAGCATTTCTAGGTGAACATCTAACACCCACAACTTGCCACAAAGGGGAGTAGAGTCAAAGTCCAGGCTCCCTCTGTGCCCAAATGTCTACACTACAATTTATAGTCTCACAGCCAAAGCCCCACAAGCGCGGATAAGCAGACCCAGGCTTTGAGACTCAGTATTTTTATCACAGTGGAGATCTACCTTATAATAGTCTTAACCAAAATATCCAAATTCCAGAAACTAAAAAAGCGAGGAAAAAAAGTCTTTTTTAAAAACAATAACTTTAAGTACTTGGCTATATGTTTGTTAGTGCATTTTTTCTTTTCCACAGTTCATTCTAAGCATCTACTCTGATGAGCTAGGTGTTGTTCCACGTTTCAAATAGAGGCAAAAATAAAAGTCAGTAGAGTAAAATGGACCGTTCCCATCATAGCATAACACTGTTTACTCACCAAACATAAGAACTCACTCAATCCCATCAGGGGGAAAGGAGTAACTTGGAAGTGTGCCCAGAACCATTCTGAAATGGGGGGAGGGGCAGAGTGTGGGCAGGACCATGCCTCCCAGTTTGGGGAGGCATTACCTTCCACCACCTCTTATGCCTGCTGCCCATGGTACTATACTTGAAAGAAGAGGTAGGGAATTGCAGAACTGCTCATTTTCAGTGCATTTCTATTGATTTTATTTCTTTTCTTTTCTTTTCTTTTTTTTTAAACAGCTGTTTCTGGTTTTTAAATTTCCATTCTTTGGCCTGCTGCTCCTGAACATTGCAATTAAAGTTCCACAAACTAAATGCCCCGATTTCCTTTTCTATTAAAAGCTGACAAAAATAGCTAGAGTTATTTTAGACAGTTTTATTTGTTTTTCTTCATTGACAAACCAATCTACAGATTAATAAGAGAAACCTTTCACATTCACAAACAAGTTCTTTCTCAAAGCTGAGTCAATTGTCCATTCAGAAGTTCTTTAAATGTATTAAGCAATTTTACATTACATTTAGAATATCTGTCTAAAAAGGCTTATAAAGAATATTTTTCTAAGCCATTCCTGGAAAAAATTTTTATTGAATTGGTATGTGTGTTGTTTTATTAGACCAAAGAACGCAAGAATTTTCTGAGAGTCTCATCTCTACGCTCAGGAAACCTTGAGCTAGAGGAGGAAAAAAATCACAAAAAGAATATTTTTTATCATAGGAAATGTGCAACCAGCATAAGAATATCAGTAAAATATACAAGCATTTTACAAATATGATGTTTACAGAATGATTTCCTCTATATTCAGTTATTATACCGTATTTTCCGGCATATAAGGTGACTGTGCGTATAAGACGACCCCCTAATTTTCTAGTTAAAACATAGGTTTTTGCCTATACTCGCCGTATAAGACTACCCCCCCTTAAGAGGCCAACCGGCAGCACCCCAGCTGCTCTGCCCCAGGGTCCACAACAAAAGCCTTGTCTGCTTGGGGGGGAGGGGGCGCACTAGCTGCGCCCCCCCCCCCCCCCCCAGCAGACCAGGGACACGGGGAGCAAAGCTGCAGCGGCAGCGGGGTGCCGCGCCACTGCTGCGGCTTTGCTCCCGGGGCCCCCGGTCTGCTGGGGACCGTCTCCAGCAGACCAGGGACACCGGGAGAAAAGCCTCTGAGGACGCCGGCAGCGGGACAGCTGCAGCACTTCTGGCCTGTCCCGCTGCTGGAGCCCCTCCGCGGCTTTGCTCTGCAGACCAGGGAGACGCAGAGCAGCTTTTCTCGCCCCGGAGTACACGGGCGGCGGGACCGCGAGGTCCCGCAGTCCGTGTCCTCCGGGGCGAGAAAAGCCCCGTTCGTACCTGCAAGTCGGGAACTGCCTGTTTGTTTATCCCCGGCGTATAAGACGACCCCCGATTTTTGGGGGATGTTTTTTAGTATAAAAAGTCATCTTATACGCCGGAAAATACGGTATATGATAATTCATGTGAATGTAAAAATGGTTAAATTATTTATACTAATTGGTTAGTAAAATTCAGTACTGTTTCTTAAGGAGTGATTATATTGCTGTTTAAATATTCATTAAATATCATTATGGATTTTTCCTTCAAAGTAAGCTGCATACTTTCATATTTAAACTGTTTTGAGAGTCTTTTGTTTTATATGTAGATGCCATAATACCAAATATTGAAATGTGCTTCGGTGCCAAGCACCCCACTGAAATCAGGCACCCAAAATACATTTGAAAATCTGGCTCTTTGCCTCTAGTCCAGCAAAGATGTCTGCATGTGTAGAAGTTTACACGCTACAAGTATGTAACTCCACTGAAGTCAGTAGGGCTATGAAAGCCTTTGCTTGTTCAGGACCTTAGTTCTAAATTATACCCTCTTGTGAAAAAACTACAGAAGAGGATGCTTTAGAGGCAGAAATTCTGGTCATGGAAACCCCAACTAATCACTCCAGCAGGAGGGTGGAGTTTGTTGGCTTGGGAAGGGAAAAAAGAGTGATGAGGTTATCTGCACAAGCACTGAAAAAATACATTGCAATTTAGATGTTTCTGGTAATAACAAATGACTTCTTCATTTGTCTCTTACGGTATGTTTTTGTGTCACAGGAGTACCAACCACATATGTTTTGGATGAACATGATTGATGCTCTCTATCAAAGCCTCGTTTGTTTTTTCATTCCTTATTTTGTAAGTTATCTCTTCAGACATTCTATTTCATGCAATGTGAGGAACAGGCTTGAAAATACAGATTGAATCCCTTTTCCTTCTTTTCAGATTTACTATGACTCAGAGGTGGATATATTCTCCTGGGGAACCCCCATCACCACAATAGCTCTTTTCACCATTATATTACATTTGGCTATTGAAACCAAAACTTGGGTAAGCTGTCTACAGGAAAATTATATGCTTCTGGGATAGTTTACTTATTTCCTTAGCATCATTCTTTAAAATTAACTAAAGCTTGTTTTATTTTCTTCAGCACTTCTGTTTTTATCAGGCATTGTAACCAAACATAAAAATGATTTAAACTTTGAGCAATTTTGTAATCCTGTTTGTAGAATAATGGTTTATGAAAATACTCACCTGGATTTTTGTACCAGAAAATTAAAAATCAGTTTGTGTTCCTGTTTCTTCTAGACTTTGCTCCACTGGTCATCTTGTGTCTTCAGTATCCTTTTATTTTTCATTGTGGCTCTGATTTATAATGTTTCTTGTCCAATATGTTATCCTCCATCCAATCCCTACTGGACTATGGAAAAATTGATGGGAGATCCTGTGTTTTACTTGACTTGTATTATATCACCAGTTGTTGCATTACTGCCCAGGTACAGTATCTTCCTTGCGTGCATATGTTAGAGGCTCATGTACTTTGTCTGGGGTAGAATTAGAGGAAAGGCGAAGGGAGATACCTGAAAATAATTTTGGGGTGAGGACTTTTCTATTTTTTTTAAAATTCTCAGCCAGATAAGGAATATTATTATCTGCATTTGAGTACTTAAGGTTGCTAGCTAGCAGAGTCAAATTACTGGTATATTAATATCACTGGTGGGTGGTTATTGTAGGTCCCATTGTCAGCATACTCACAGCTCTTCTTGGGACAATTTTTTTTATTATAAATGTGAAATCTAAAATGAATTAAGTGTGCTGCTTGCCTGTTCCAATTCTCATTCTGTTAAAGTAATTGTTATACTGTGTTCTGTGAACATTTTTCCCTCGATAAAAATCATAAGCAGTTCCTGTATCTTTGGGGTGTCTTTTCATACATGAATTTTTTCCTCCTTCAGATTTCTGTACCGAACTCTTCAGGGGACTATTTTTCCAACCAAACTTCAGCTTGGACGCCAGTTGAATAGATGGCCTCTGGACGCTCGCAGCCAGATTCTGAACCGGTTGAATATCAAAAAGGAATCTATTCCCCAGAAGCTACCATGTACAGAACATTCCTCACAGGATCCTCAGTCAAATGCTAGTGATAGTTTTAAGGCCTGCAAACAAACCCCTACTTCAGAACCATCTCAGCATGGCTACAACCCAGCTTTCCCATCATGTACAAGGGTAGAACACAAAACAGGACTGAGTGTTACTGTCTCGCCTGCTGGCCCCCTGTTATGTGGGGAAAATAAACACTCTTCAGTGACAAATAGTCAAGAACAATACCTGGAATTTGACAAAATTACTCACAATGCTTCAGAGATGGAGTCAATGTCTGTAGAAGAAACGTTCCCATGGAACTCAACAATAGACCAGTCAGGCTTCAGTTTATTGAACTGGATCACATCAACACCCTTGTTCAGTCGATTTGGGAGACTTTTACAACTCCCACCAAGTCAGTTACAAAATGAAGTGCAGGGCAACGTGTCTGTGCTTGGCTCCACATCTTCTTTGTATCAGGACTTCAAAGGCTTAACAGGGAAGAACTCAAATGACTTTCAAAAACAAATTAAAGGGACCCCAACAGATTGCTGTAAAAATGAAGCTCATGAAATCACCTTCTTATGACATGGGCCTTGAGTACATTTATATTGTTTCTGTTTGCACAGATTTATAGTGAAATTATTCCATTTGTTTCCAGAGATGAAACAGGAGATCAAAGGTACAAAAATTATTTAAAAAATCTTTAAATATTATATATTGAAATAAAAGCTTTAAATATAAAGAAAAAATATACTTGGATGTTCCAATATCTCTTTATTTTTTTCATCACATTTTATAAGAAAATGCAGGACTTTCATTTTCCAGTTGCTTCTCTTTCATTTTGGCAAGTATTGCCCCAAAAGATTTGAATTTCAGGAGCAATTATAGACATGATTATAGTTGGTTCAGCAATCATGAAAAGGAAAATACATAATGATAACACTGTATCCCAGCGGTTTGGATAATTTGTGTGATTTAAATTTATCTGATTTAAAATAAAAAATCTCTGTGAGGTCTGACAATCAAGTTTTTAAGGGGAAAACTGCCAGGCAGGATTTTGAAAGTATCATACTTTTTTGTAAATATTAACAGCATCTTGCCACCATATAAACACTAGCAACTTGTGAATGTTGTCATATTTTGATATCTCCTGAATACATTTTATTTCTTATGATAAAACAATAAAAAATGACCATCCATATACAAAATGGTTGCCTAGTTTGGCATTAATAAGAGTTCAGTTCTTCATTTGCAATCAGTAAAAACAGTTTGCACATGGCAGGTCAGGCCATTCCTTTCTAAAAGGAAAACTATTTTGCTTTATAAAGACATATTTTGGGGGGAAATAAGTGTATGTTATATGTGCAGTATCATATAAGTCAGAGGAAATTGAAAGCATACTCAGCATGTTGCAGTCTGCTCCACATAACTTGCTGAAGAGTGTAAGTCCTGTTTGCTAACGAGAACAGGGAAAGCCCTTTTGTTATGGATTACAGGCAGTCCCCGGGTTACGTACAAGAAAGGGACTATAGGTTTGTTCTTAAGTTGAATTTGTATGTAAGTCGGAACTGGCTCCAGATTCAGCCGCTGCTGCTGAAACTGACCAGGGGCTGACTACAGGAAGCTAGAGGCAGAATTGCTCTGCCCCCAGCTTCCTGGAATCAGCCACTGATCAGTTTCAACAGCGGCTGAAC